CTTCAGAGAACCAGATCCAAACCTTTCTCCACCACTGAACAGCACACGGGAAGCCAACACCAGAATCCGGCGCGCTCGGCTGTACAAACCACCCTGGAGCTGGGCATCAGTCTCCACGCAGTCTGGATGAGGCTCATCACAACCCGCAAGCACACCCACCCACCCCAACCCGGCCCTTTTTTGGATCAAGAAGGCAAGTTTCCTTCATCCAAAGCCACCCAACCATCTGATAGTAAACCATTCAACTCGATTTAATCACAGCAAAGCAACAACCCTCATCGTACTTTGATTGATTCCAGTACGTTGGCCACATCCTTCTTTATTTGCTCTTTTGGTATTTACCTTTCCATCAGTATTTCTGCCCTTCTGGATGTCTGTCAAGACAAGCTCCTCAGCCACGGGCACTAAGGGTTGTCAAGCTCCCCTGGGAAGTGCCTTTTTTATACCTGAGACCAGCAGCTGACTAAGTCCTATTTTTAGCAGCCACTCAGGTAGGAGAGTGGCCAATGCTTCCTCCTGGGATCCCCGCTATCACCTCCCTCGTGGCGGAAAACCATCAGGCGTGAGTTTCGCTGGAGGAGAAAGCAATTTCCTTATGACAAATAGCAGCAAAACAGCATAAAAATCACCTGTCACCTGGTGTAAGTGCTGGCCTTTGAAACCAGCTATCTAAGCCAGCTGTTTAGCATTTGGTTTTGGTTTGTGTTTTTTTTCTAATGGGTGTGATGCCATTCATGGGCTTTTCAGGGTTGTTTTTGTAAGGAGAAGTCATAACTTCGACAGATAAATGGAATTTCAGTGCAGCAAGGAGACTGCCCTGCTCACATCCCAGGACAGTGGGCGCTGGGGGCTGTTGTGGGACCGCAGACACTCTGGGGCACGGTGCTATCGGGTTGTTGCCTAACACCAAGCATGGCTGGGCTGCAGCATCTTGGAAACCCACCCTGGGGTCCATCAGACAGCTCGTGCACCCACCCTAAAACATGAACCAGCACCAGCTTCATGACCCAAATCCTTTGCACCCACATGGCTCCCACTCAGCCTTGCCCAGGGGCAGAGCATCTCCCAGGGCAAAACCAACGAGGCAGATCTGCACATCTCAACATCTACAATCTGCCCCTTGGGCCAAACAAATCTTATGCTTTTCTTACACCAAAGATCCATTTGGCCCCACAAGCCACCCCCTTGCACCCCTGTGCCTGTTGCACCCTCCCACGGGCTGCTGCCCACCATCTTCATTGCTATTTTGCCATCTGATGGCAATATTTTGCACTGCACCTTGCAGGGACGGTGCTGGATGTGGATGCATTTGCCGGGCAGCGGCTGCCGGCACGCCGGCTTTGGAAAACCCCTCGGCAAGATTTCCACCTGAGCAGTGCTGCATTTTCCCCAGTTTTCAGCTGGGATGATGTGCTGCCCAAGTCCTTCCCACATAGAAATGGTCTTCTCCTGTTAATGAGTTCAGCTTGCAACTGAAACAACCCAGGATTATTTTCTTTCTGTTTGTACAAACTTTCTGTGTCATAATTTCCTATAATTGGGGGAGATCCTGTCCCTTTCCCTCCGTTTCTCCTGAGCCTACACCAGTGAATCAGAGTCTGGTATGGATTAGGAATTACCTGGCTTTGTTTTTCAGCATGCCAATCCACTTCTGATAAATAATTAATCCATCCGTGAGGAGCTCCGTGCTGCTAACTCACATATGACCATTTCCTTTCATAAGCAGTCGATTCCCGTGGGTGAGAAGTTTCACGAGCAGTTTTGCTGGTTTTTTTTTCATCTACAACATCCATAAAACAAAAAGCCACATCCACTCTGGCAATGGGGTACAATCTGGCCATTTCCAGTTTGGAGATCTTGCTACAAGAGATCATACAATCCTGAGTCCAAACACTGTCCCTGCTCACAGAGGACTTTTCATGATTAAACTGGGAATCAGTGTTGACTTACAGCCTCTTGCAGGCTTTTCCTCTTTGTAGTAGTAGCATTTCTGGACACAGCCTGAAGATGGGATATCCAAAGTGACTCCAGGAAAAATCTTGACCTGAATTATGATTCTGGATCCAGACCTTCATCCTAGTTCAGTTCCCTTCTGGGATTTGGGATGTGTTCAAACCTAATGGGAGAAAGGCATAACAAAAAGATGTTTGTGAGAGATCCAAGACAAACCAAAAGCTCTGTACCAGAGTTGGGGGAAGAAATCTGGATCCAAATTTGCCCTCTTTTCCCATCAATACTGGGAGAGAATGAGGAAGCTGCCTGGAAATGTGGTCATGTGGAGAGAGCACACAATGCAGAGGTTGGTATCTTCAGTCCAGTGACGTTGGAGGGAAAGGCAGAACTAAAAGCATGGGTGCACAGCAGGAGATAACTGGCTTATTTACAGGAACTTGCTTCAGAAGATGGAAAGAAACAAGGGAGAAGTATTCCCCGCAGAGAGCTGTGGGGTGCGGAGGGTTACAATGCACTTGGGAGAAGGCAGGAGCCAAGTCACCCACATTTTTGGGGAACAAGACAAGACACAGGCTGGGGTTGGACATCAGGAAAAACCTTCTCTGCAGGAGGGTGGGACAACCTCAGATGGATGTCTGGAGGGGTTGGGGATCACCATCTTTGGAGGTCTTCAGGATTTGGCTAGTGAAAACCACAACCAACCTGACTGCGTGTTGGAGGCAGTTGTGCTTTAAGTGGACCAGAAACGTCCCTCCAAGCCAACACCAGCCACCTGGGCACAAAAATATCTGCAGTTTCAGATCCGAACCACGACAGGGGTGTTGAGGGCAGCCACTGCTCCCCGCACCAGCCATGGTTCGGACAGACAGCACAGCCAACACGTGGCCTTGGTGGAAACCTCTCAGCCCGGTTGTGCAGTCCCTCTCATCCCAGAGGGTGGTGGGCACCAGCCCCCCAAAGCAAATCCTCTTTTCCACCAGGCCTGGGGCTGAATTTAGCCACTTCCCTCAGCAGATGAGCAGTGTGAGACAGCCGTGGGCGTGCAGAGGCATTTGCATTGGCTGCTGTGCAACACCCTGCCCCAACCAGCACCAGACCTGGGGCTGCTGGAGCATGGACAATGACCTCCAGGGAACAAAGCATCCACAAACCCTCAGGAGAGCCCGCGTGGGGCACCTGCCTGTGTGCCACCGCTCCTGGACTTCAGCCATGGCGAAAGTCACCAACTGCTGTGTGTTCTTCCTCCCCCCACGCCCACAGCAAACACCCCGGCACAAGCGGCGGTTATTCGGCTGTTTACCGAAAGGGATGGGTCCCCGCTGCAGGAAAGCAGCAGGTTTACAGCTTTCCCGCCTCTGTTTGCTGCAGGAAAAAAGAAAGAGGCACATCGCCCCGGGAAGGACACGAGGGCTTCCTGGGAGCATGGAAAGAGCTTGTCATTGCAGCCCATCCTCAAGAAAGCGCCCTTTGATTTTCACCCTCCAAGATCCTCCGGAGCCGCAGCGGCATGGCCCAAGGAGGGTTGAGTGCTTTTGGCAGCTTCCCAAGCAGGAGAGGAAACCCCCGTCCAAGTCCAGTGAGAACCTTAGTCATCACAGGAAAAAAAGGTGACATGAGGGCATCTCGCGTGCTCCCTGCGAGCACGGCACAAGCAGCGGGGTCACCGACTGTCACCTGCTCCAACAAAACAAACCACGCGGGCTGGAGAAGTGATGGGATGCTTAGGAATCATCAGGGCTGTTTCCATGGCAGGAGAGTGACGGAGGGATGTCTTGTTAGGAGAAGGTCAGAAAAAATGCACCATAGGTGTGAATCCCAAAACAGATGCATGGCCAAGACGGGACAGTTGCCAAGGAAGGAGGTCTGCTTTCCTACCAAAGCAGTCCCTCAGGGCTGGGCAGGACTTACACTGACTCTCTGCTGGGTTTCACCCCAGGAAAGATTTGACTTTGGTCTTCTCTGGGACAAAGAGCACCCTTTGTGGAAAGAAGGATGAGGTCCAGGTGCTTTGCTGCACCTTCCTGGTATGGTGCATCTCCAGGCTGCAGCTTGACTGGGTGCTCGGTCACCTCCAGCCCCCTCTCCTAGCAGATTTTCACCTCCCTTCCTAGCTAGGACCTCCCAAAGGCTGTGACTTCATGCTCATTTCCTTCTCCTCCATCACTTGACTTGTCAAGCACTTGCATTTTGCCAACAGGCTGGTGATATTTTCTGGAAGTGAAACTTCTCAGCCAGCATTTCTGGAGATATGTTGTACTGTTGACATTTTGCCTACCAGCCACCATGTGTTCCACCACTGCTGGCTACAGCCCACCAGTATCTCCAGGCTCCAGTTAATGGGTAGAAAGTAGTTTTGGAAGAGCAAGACTAGTTACAACAAAAGGGACTGTAGTTTCAGGTTGGAAACCACTAGTTTTGGTGGAAACCTGTCACCAACCCTTGCCAAAGTTTTTTCACAAGACTGACAGTTCCCAGACCCATTTGCAGCATCGCTGCCCCAAAAGCAGTGCTGATGAAGATCTGAGATGGCAGCTTGGGCTTGGGAAAGGATCCATAGCAAAGAAAGGAGGCAGCAGGATAATTTCTGCAGTGGTGCAAAACTAAGGTTGGAAGAAACTCATCTTTTCCTATCAGCCATGAAACATGATGCTGTTTCACGACCTGTATCTGTGCTTGTCCACTTAGCTACAAAAGACTGTGTGTTTGCATAATGTTTGCCCATCAGCTGCTGAGCATCTCGGACCAGAGCACTCGATTTAGGGGCTGCCGAGCTTGGGGACAAGATCTGGATGCTCACAGTAGCTGGGTTTTAAATGAGAAAGGCTTGGATTTCCCAGTTTCAGACCTTCAACCAGTGAGAAGTGAGATTTTCAACCTTACACACTTGTGGGATTTTATTTCCTCAATGAAAAGCAATTTGAAAATGTTAGTGGATATTTTCAGAGTTAAAAAAAACACAGACACATTGTTCCTTCTGGGTCACCAACAGTGCCTGGGGTTGCAGATATTCCTGCTTTGGACTCAAAGCAAATAACCACATATCCAACGACGAGTGTGGTCCTATTCATTGCTGGCTTCGTTTCTTTTCACATTATTTAGTCAGCTAATTACAAAAAGCATTACATGGAGGGAAAGGAGTTAAAATGAGACCCAGCTTAGGGCATCCATGCAGCCTGGAGCTCCAGCCAGGCCTGATCCAGGCAGATATTTCATCACACTCCCGCTCTTAAGCACAGGAGCAACCCCCCAGCAAACAGTGAGATTACAGCATACAGCATATCTGCAATCAATATAAGTCTGTTCTCAGATCGGGGAAATGGCTCAGATTCAGAGCAGCGTGTTCATGTTTAGGGCCACACTGCCAAAGCACTTTGGTAGATGCTTGACCTGGAGCATGTGCTCTGGTGCCCTGCGCTCAGCACCTCTCACTGGAAGAGCAGAGCAGCCTTCACCAGCAAGTTTGAGCCTTAAAGACAAGCATCGAAATTTACAGAGCCAAAATATCACATTTGCTCCCTGAGGACAGAAGAGAAGCAAGCAGAAGACCATCCCACATGTTCAACCTGCACTTTTGGGGCCAGGGGACAGTTTCTGGGTATGTTTTGCTAGTGAAGCCCCAGAGATGTCACAGCTTTGGCCTAAGGGCAGGTTTTGAAATCCAGAACCAGCTCTGTGGCCTTCTGTCCAGGAGATGCAAGAGATGGCAGCACCTCCCAGCAGAGCACAAGTCTGCAATGCACTGCAAGTGCCACCTTCAGAAACGTCCTATGGTGAAACCTCCAGTGGGTCTTCTTTCAAGTCTTCATGGTCCTCGTTCTCCAGCTGCTCCAGTTTGCTGGATTTCTCATGGATGATCTCCCCAGGAGTCTTCAAAAACCTGCAATACATTTTTAAATTTTAAGGGCATGTCCAAACCCAGGCTGCAAATGCTGGAGCCTTTGCCCTCATCAGCTGAGCTCTGGAGCTCGACAGAGGGTATCTGCCATCCCTGGGATTTGCTGAGGATCCCAGCTCTTTCTTTGAACCCAGGATCACCAAGTCAGGGGAGACAAAGCTCAGCACTCATCAGCCCAGAGCTGGCATTTTAAGCCCAAGCTAGTCCCAGCGAAGCAGCCAGCACAGAAAACAGGAGACTCCTGACTTATTTCCACACCTTCCTCTGTCTGGAGGCGGACTTCAGACCTGGTGTCACTGGGGAACAGGAGGGACCTGTCAAGACTGGGTGGGCTCGGGGGCATTTCGTCGGGCTGGCTCCCATGTAGAAGAGTGGGTGGGTGCTGGCCCTGGGGCAGGTTGCTGGCCCGCAGCCCTGGAAGGTGCATCAGATGGGACCTGGAGCCCCAGCAGCCCAGCTCCCGGCTTGCACAGGACAGATCCTGGACACAAACCCACCAAGGCGTTGCATTTTCAGAGGAGGATCTTGCTGAACAAAGCAGCTGCCAACATCTGGGGCCTACCAGCTTCCCATGCCCCATCTGCACTGTCCCAGGCAGCTCGTTTCTCTGATCTGCTTCACCTCACCTAAACAACAGCTTCTGCCCTGGCTCCTTTTTGATGATGTTGAGTTTGTAGTAATGTCTGAGCGCTCGTGACATCTTCTCATATGTCATGTTCATCCGGTTCTGGAAGGAGAATATGATTGGGGGTGTGAGTAAAAGCAAGCACCAAGACCTGGTTTAGGTCTGTCTGCAGCAGGACCACACGCAGGACATTTGAGGTTGTTCTTCAGCATTGCAGGCTGCAGTGTGGGTCTCTAACCCAGACTCACTTCTGGGTCCACAGCCATCATGGTTTTCTTTCCAGGGGATGAGAAAGCCTCCCTCTTTAATCACCAGGAGACTGGGCATCTCTCAGTAGCTCTGTGCCCAATCCGTCTCACCTTTCCCAGTCCCTGTGCCATCAGCTCTGGGAAACAGGTCATAAAGGCAACGTACAGAAGCCCAGGAATGAGAAATTTGTTCTCAGCTGCATTTACCTTGTGGTTCCCCCAGAGCTGGGCAAGTCCATTTGGGTTAACGACCCGGAAGACCTTGGTTTCCTTGTCTTCCCACTTGATGTAAGGCTCATAGCGGCTGTCAGAGAGGAGCTGGTACACGTAATCCCACAGCAACCTGCAGTCTGAGCATTGGTGGAGAATAAATAGTCACAGAGCTCCCACTACAGCACCTATGCCCCAGTGAGGGTCAATCAGCAACAGGATTGCGTGTTAGCAATGATAATAAATATAAGAAGAGCCCACAGCTCATGCACAGAACTTTTATTGCTAAATCTCAAAACATTAGCAAGAACTACAGTTTTTCAGGTGGGGAAACTGACACTGATGCATGGAATAAATGGAAGGGAGACAGATGGGCAGGCAGGGCAAAGCACAACTACATTTTCCCAAGGGACCAGGCTATAAATTCATATTCACCTGCAATTTTCCCATCCACTGGGGCTGGCAGGGTTGTAGGAAAAGAGCAGATGGCACCTACTCTGCAACTGCCCTCTGAGCTGTGATGGGAGAGGTTCAGTGGCTCTGCATGGCTGCGGAACACAGGCTGCTCTGCACAACCCAGGCAGGAAGAAAAAGCAGCTGGAGCAGCCTCAGTGCTACAGTCTGTACCTGGAAAAAAAAAAAAAAGAAAAAAAAAACAACACACAAAAAAAATCCAAAGCCTGGGGTGTATTATGGCAACTCCCAGGAGATCTTCCAAAGCCCTGAAGCAGGTGGGGAGGGACAGCCCAGGTTGGTGATGAGCCCAGTACTGGCCCAGCCAGAAGAGTCAGATGCTGAGGAAAGCCTGGAACTTTCCTGAGGCAGGAGCAGCAAAAAGTCTAGGAGGGTTAGAGGAGATGCCAAGTATGGCGAGGATCAGATATGGAAGAAAAGCTAGAATAGAAGAATGCACCAGAGTACAAGCACTCCCTTGTAAATTGTTGTGAAGGCTTAAGATGTTCATCACCCTACACCTGAGCCAGCAGAAGCACTCAGGAAAACATTCCCAAGTCCCCTTCAACACAAAGCCAGCCACTGATACCAACCTATTTCCACCCTAACTCCTATCAGAGCTCCCCAAGGGCACTAATAAGCTTCATTGGCCCTGACCAGCCTCTCCTGGGGCCTCTCCCCATTCCACTCATTGGCCCAGAAGCTCTAATTAAGCTCAGTCCTGGCCCCTTGGTCCTTTTCTAGCTATGCTGCAGGAGGGCCAGTCTCCAGCCATGGCTGTGCCTCTGCCTGGTTATCCTCCCTGATCTCAATCTGCAGACACACTTCCCAGTGTGGCCATAGCCTCACCTGGTCACCACGGACCCACCTGGTGCTCTCTAGGCCTGATTCTGACCAAGGCCTGCTTCATCACTACAAGCTTCCTCGATGACATGGACTTGGCTGGGTCTGGCTGCCATCTCCAGGGCTGTCCCGCTTGCCTTGCTCAGGTAGCGTGGGATGGGTTCAGCTGGCTGAGCTTCAAACCCCAGATGCATGCAACCCACTGTAGCCAAGGGCTGGCTCTGCTTGATGGAGAGCTGCCATTCTCCATCATACCTTCCTCTGTGCTCCTGGCTTCCCTGAAGGGCGAGTTCAGCAAAGGGCTGCACACCAGAGCTCTTCTTTCAGTCTTAATGTACTTGAGTATTTCATATAACACATCACCTGCAGGGAAGGAAAGCCTGCTCAGATGACTTTGTATTATAGTCTCTCAGGTGATGTTGTTGCTTAGATTTCTGTGCTACAGAGTAAAAGGTTATTCCCCATCCCAAAGCGTTCGCAGCCCAGATGGATTAAAGGAAGGAAGGGGATTGTCCTTGTCTCCAGCACCCAACTGGCCAGAGCTAAAGCCTGGTCTGCCGGGACCCATCCAGCCCCTCTCAGCAGACCACAGCTTGTGCTGTACTTGGATGGTCCTCAGAAACACCCCTGCGCTTGGTCTAACCTGAGCTCGGAGCTCGGTATCTGAAGTCATCCTTGGTGAGGATGCACAGGGCTTTGCCGTTCATTTCAAACTTGCTTTCATCAGTTTGCCGAAGGGAATACTCTTTCTCAGCCCATCTTAGCCAGTGGATCACGTCGTCCTTGCTCCACAGTGAGGGCTGGATTCCTGAAACCAGGAGCAGCCTCTGAAACAACTCGGTCTCCATCTCCAAAACAGCTGAGGGGCAGGGTGGGATACTAGTCTCCTCCATCACCAAACTTTCCCTCTATATTAAGCACTCATAGGTCAAAAATGCCTCAAAGAGAGAAAATTAACTCTGACAACCAGTCCATCTTGTCCCCCTTGACAGCAGGAAATGGTTCCTGGCTGGGACACCACAGAACCCACCATGTCTCATCCTGTGGGAACTCCTTTCTTAAGCAGAGTTGACTTGCTCAACATCTACTCACTCAGCCTGCCTGGAAGCTTGAAGATCTCCCCCTCGCTGATGGGTGTGTGTCTGGCCTGGGATGGGGGTGGTAACAAAGCTGTGACAACGGAGCTGGAAGAGCTGACTGCCACTTTACCCTGGGGAAAAGAGATCAAACACATCAGTGGGGGGAAATTCCTGGCTCTGGTTCTGCCAGATGCTTCCACTGCAGTAAACACGGCTCAAATATTTTCTAACTCGTTTCTCATAGCAGCATGATGTTTGCAGTTCTTCCACACTGGCTCTAGGTCCTTTACCAGCCCCAGGATGAACCTCTGGTAGCCCAAGACAGCATTAGTAGCCAGAGATCCCCCTCTTTCTTTAGCAGAGGTACCTGCTCTCATCCAGGCTCTGGATGTGGGTTATCCATCCCTCCTGCCCCATGGCTGCAAGGAAGTAGAAGATGGAGCCAAGACTGGCAGAGCCTGCAGTGTCTGTGCAGGATCCCCAGATGTTCGTTGGATGCCCAGGCTTTTAGGCCAGTACTTCAATTCTTTAGTGCTGTGAAAATACAGCTGGCAATAGTGCTGACATTCTCGTCTTAAAAAGACTGTATGAAAAGATCTCTAACTTTTTCCCTAGTGATCATTTGGACAGAAGTGGAAATAGCCATCCCACAGTTTAAGGAGTTGTCCACTCATCTTGCTCGCCTGCCATTAAGTCCCAGCCCCTCAAGAATTATTTCTCCCTCTTGGTTGTTCATTAAGGACCCCCTCCAGCCCCATCGAACGGCTGAGATGGTCAGCACTGGGAGGAGAGGCAGCCCCAGTGCCTCTGCTGTGCTGGGGGTCAGCATCACCCCCAGTCTGCCTCCACGCTCCCATCCAGAGCACGTGAGCCAGAAGGGAGCTCAGATCCTCCTTTCAGCCCCATCCAGATCTTGAAATATTACTGGCAGCGAAGCAGATAATGTTCCCCTTAAAAATCTATTAATATGAATCCCAGCAATTTCTCGGCTTCATTCTCTGGAAAATTAACAATTTTGCCTACAAATAGTATTTTCCAAAGTGGTTGCCAACTCTAGGCGCTTCAATACACCCTCAGGCAGATTTTCAGAGGTGGTTAGAGCAGCCAGTGCTCCTCGACTGGGAGGGGGGGTAGGAGGTAGAGAGGAGCTGAGCCCCCACGGAAAAGCAGGGGTGAAGAAAATCAGTGTGCACTGACAGAGCAGGTGGTGGTTGGACACATTTTAAACGCAAAGCTGGTGTCCCCAAAAGCAAGAGCATGGGAGATAGGAGCAAAACACTCCATCCCTCCTGGGGAAAATGCTTATCTGGGATCCAGGGGGAGTTACAGCAGGAGAAAGGCAGCGGTTTGGTGACGGGTGAGGGGTTTTCTTCAGCAGAAGGATGAGTGTTAGCAATTTGCTTGTTAGTGGTGTAATGATTGCTGGCTGTCTCAGGGTTGCTGGTTTTAGCAAAGCAAGCAGCTGCATAATATTGTGTGAGTAAACCAGAGAAACTCCAGTATAAACTCTGCACGGGCTTAATAGCAATGCAAAGTGTCTTTCAGATTCATTCTAAGCAATAAGCTATGGGAAAAATAAAAGTGAAAGAAATTAGTAGTGTAATTTGTGTAGAACTCATATAAAAAGATATTTTAGGTTTTTTTCCCATCGATATTTACAGTAAAAACAGACCAAATGTTTTATTGTTTTTCTTGCTCTTAAGGATTTCTAGGGCATGAGAGACATTCAGAGGTTTTATTACTTCGTAGCAATTTTATGTTCTTGGGTTTTTTCCTGCTTTCACTCACATTTCTGAGACAGCATTTCCTTGCTTAAAGAAGAAATACTGTCCTTGGAGGGGTCCAAGTGGTAACATGAAAAAAAGGGGGTGAAAATGAAACCCCAGATGTGTGAGAGCAGCTTTCGGCTCAGTCCCAAATGGAGGGGGACAGGGCCCCCCGGCTGCTCCGGGTCCGAGAGCCCGTTTGGAGGTGGATGGGGGGGTCACCACCCCATCCCCTCCCCCGGGAATCAACTTCCAGTCCCTAACTGGGAGGGGGGAGGGAGAGACTGGACCGGGCTGGGGGGCAGGCGGCTCTTACCTGCATCCCCGGTGGCGGTGGGCGGCTGCGACCCGGGGCCCGGCGCTGTCCCGGGGCCCGGCTCAGGCGGGGCCCGGCTCTGCGGCTCCGGCGCGATCCTTCCGGGAAACGAAATCGAAACAAGCCGGAGCCCCGGGAGGCAGCGGAGCGGCGGGGGGGCAGCGCCTGGGGCCGGGCTGTGTCCCGTACCGTCCCCCCCCCATACAACCCCCCCCCCGTTCCGTGGCCGCCGCCTCCGCCCCGCGCGTTTGTTTGCCGGCACCGGGACAACACGGGTGGACTCTCTTCTCCCGGGGGGCGGGGGGGTCCCGTCCTACGGCGGGCTGGAGCACAGCCCTGGGGGCGGACGGACTGATGGAGGAGGGAGAGATCCCGGGACGCACCGGAACGGGGGGGGGGGGGGGAGAAGGGGAAACAGCTCAAATATCTGGGTTAGTCCTTTTTCTCCACCGGGTGCGGCAGGAGCCGCGCTGCGGGACACGTGCGCCCCGGGACACGCAGGCCACGCCCCATTCCGGTACGCCCCGCCCCGCTCCCCCGGTACGCCCCGCCTCGGTTCGGTACGCCCCGCCCACCTGTACGCCCCGCCGCACCCCCCGGCATCCCCCCGCCCCCTCCCGCTCCCTCGGCCCTCCATTGGCCAACCGGTTCCGAGCGTGGGGCCAATCGGGTAGCGGCGGGGAGGGGGCGGGGCGTAGCGTAGCGGCGGGGCCCCGCCCTCCGCCCGCCGGAGGGAGCGGCCTCGGCGGGGACGCGGTGAGTGGGGCCTCGCGGGCGGGCGGGGGCCTTGCCCCGGGCATAAGACGGGTTTGAGGGCTCTTCCCGGCCCTCTGTGGGGCTTGAGGGTGCTGGGGGGGGCCCCTTTGTGGCTCTTTATGAGTCTTGGCGGGGCTTTAAGGGCCTTCTCGGCCCTCTGTGTGCTTTGAGGGCGACCTATGGGCCTGGGGGCGGCCGTGGTGTGCTCGGAGGAAGGGCGAGCTCGGGGTTCGGGGGGGCCTTCCCCGTCCTCTGCGGGCGTTGAGGAGGATGTCTGCGGGGCCGAGGGAACGTCTGTGGGGTCACAGTGGACCCCATTGTTATGTACGGGCGTTGGGGGGTTGTGGGGGGGCTTGGGGAGGTGCGTTTGGGGCCTTTGTGTGCCCTGAGGGACCTCTGGGCCTGGGGATGCCTCCGTGTTTGCTTGGAGAGGGCGCCTTTGGGGCCTCTCCGACACTCTGTGTTTGGCAGGGGACTGGGACAGTTATCCCTTGAATTAGTGCTGCATCCCTGTACTGTGTGGGAAGCCTCAGGGCCTAGACCGTGTCCAGTGCCCTTTGGTGATGCTGCTACTGGTGACCACCACCCCCGGATCAGGAAACATCCTCCTCTGAGAGTGCTGGTTGGACCCGCTGCCCTCCTACACGTGTTGCCAGGGTTGCTGCAAACCCAAATCCTGTTGTCCTAGTAGGTTATGGCTTCCAGGCAGAACGTGCTCGCGTAAGGAAGTTGTGTCTGGGGAATCAACAGAAAGGCTCAGATCTCCCTTTTGACGTGTGTCTTTGTTTACCCCAGTGCCTGGACAGTGAGGCTGCACTGCTGACAGTCACCTGGATTTAGGGGTTATAAATACTTCTGCCCTCAGTTCATAGAAGCATTTTCAGTGATGTAAGCATCAAAACAGTGAATTATTTGGCTCAAAAACTGTGAGTTAGTCTGTAGGCAAAGCTGCAGACTGTATTCGCACATGCCTTTATTACAGGGGAGCAATTTTATTTAGGGAAACAGTCACCTTCTACTAAAATAAATACACTGATAATGTTTACAACCTCTGTGTACTTACATCACTAAAAAAATGCTCTTTTGCAAAGCAGTCTGTACAACTTATACTGGCACAATTGTCTTTTATTTTCTATAGTAACATCCACGTTAGGGGGTCTTCTGGGGTCTTCTCTTATGGATGAAAGGAAGCAGTTTACGTAGACTAATCCTGAGTGAAACCTGTGCAGAAGACTGTCCAGTTATTTCAGCTTCTCTTAAAGCAATTAAGAACAGGTTAAAAATCTGTGCTGTCATGGAAATAAGTGTATATTGAGTTAGCTAAATTGGTGTTTGTTTCAATATAGACTTATTTGCAGCACATTAAATGCTTTTTGATCTCTTTCAGTGCTATCTTTTGCTGTTAGAGTTGAAGAGGATGAGTTTTCTGTTTGATTTGGGCTTAAAAGGAGTGATCTTTCTGGTAGGAGTTCATTGCATAATTTTATTTTTTGGGAGCTTTGTGTTTTGTAGTTATTCTGTGTAAGGTTGAATGGACTTCAGTGAGCCCAGCCAAGCTGCAGGTGTCTACCTGGAAGAAGATATAGTCGAAAGGACCAAACTGGTTATTTATATACTTTTCAACAGTGGTGAGAAACAAGTTATGGCAAAGACATTCGAGCTGTTTGATGTAGATTGAATGTACCTGCAGACAGAGAAAGTGGTTGAGATTTTTGGGGGTTGTGGTTTTTTTTCTGGAAGGGTTTTGTGGCACTTCTTTGGGTGGAAGGTAAGATAGTAATTCCAGAGCCTCAAAAATAGGAACCCTCATCACTGGTCATAATTGTGCTGACAGAACTGAATCATCTAAAATCCTTCTCCAAAGTATTTCTACTCATCAGAAATGAGAAACCCTCTTACTTTAGCTGATTTGATACAAATCTGATCTTACCTCAGTCTTTCTGAGGTGCCTTCATAGCTTGGCATGTTCAGTCTTGCCTTCTCAGAATCCAAGAGGTTTCATGACTGCCAGCTCGGAGTTTTCTGTTCAAGATATTGTAACACTTTTTTGGTGTGGTGGTTCAGTCTGTCTTTACAGGTCATGAGAAGTAAGAATCATGCCTGGTTTTGTTAGTTATTGCTTTCAGCAGGAGGTTTGGGGCATGCTAGGATGTGTTTGTCAGTTGACCTCATCTTGAACTCATTCCATGTGCCCATGACAAGCAGCCAAGTGTTTAGCTCACAGTATAGCAATGTAGTCAAAAGAAGAAGAGTATAATATTGTTTATAAGTAATGCTATTAACTTCACTTTAAATATCTAAAAACCCATAAGTAGAAAATTTGTGTGTAGAGAAAGGTAAATAATACTTCACCCTTTGTAATGAATTTGCTGTAAGACTTCAGTGCTGAATAGCAATTAACAACACCTTTGTCCCCTTTTGCCAAAAGCTGTGATCATAAAAGGAATATTGGCCAAGCAGTAGGTAGTAGTGGTACTGTATTAATAATTGCATCACAAAGTTGCAGTCCTGTTATGAAAGTCACTGCATGATGACAGGCCGACTCAGCAGCCAAATAACTTGTAAAAGGAGACTTGCAGAGCTACCTGAAATAGCACGTACCTGTTCAGTCTCTCATAGTTACCTGTTCTTGCCAAAGCCGGTGTCAGAAACTCTTCCTCCTACTAGAAAGTAAAATCCTGTTTAATAAATGCAAAGTGAGCCTCCCTAAAATTTTAGCTTGGGAACAGACTCTGGAACTGCTGCATTCTGCTTAGAGATCCCAGAGGATTGTGTGGATAATGAGCTCTTTCTTTACAGGAAAAATGCTGAATCGGTGCCTGCTGATAAAGGCCACTTCAGCTGTCTAAAGGATCTCCCAATTTTTAAATTAATTGCTTAATAGCAAGTAAATTTAGAGGATCAGTTCATTACTGGGTAATTTAACCCATATCCAGACAAGCAGCATAATAAATACCGTTTCTGTGGGGAAATGTAAAAGGGTGGGAAGCCACCACCATTTTTTCTTCCACTTTATCCATAAATATCATAACCAGAGCTAATGATGAGTTCAGAAATTGCCCATTTGGTAAAATTAACATTTTCTGTAGAAGCAGTGTGATTGCAGTATCTGTTGGGGGGGGGTAAGACATGACTTGGCCAGCCTGCTGATTGGAGCCCCTCTGATTTCAGGTTTCTGATCCCAGCATCCCCATTGATTCTAACATGACAATCGGTTAGAGCTTGTGGACAATCTTTTGCCAAGGTTGGTACAATTTTGGGTCCCTGGCTTTTGGATGGTTTTGCGGTGTGAAATGTTGTCTACTGAACAGCCTCCCAGTTCTGAAAAATTCCCAAATTTGATCTTCTACCCCATAGCCCAGACTGATCCCATCTGCATTCTGAGGAGCTGAATCACCTTCCAGTGCTTGTTTCTTACCAGTGTCTGTATAGAAAACCTGGGACTCGTAATCCAGGGAGCTCGGGTGAGATGAATCCAACTCCCTGTGCTCCAGAGTGAATAGGGAGTGTTGAAGCATGCCCCGTGCAGCCCTGCTTTATTCTGAGAAAAAGCAAGGCAACCCCTCCTGCATGTGAGGGGGACCTATAGGAGAGACTCCATCCAGCCTGCAGCGTGGTGGAAGGCAGATTAGCAGCGTGAATATCAAAACCAAAACTGCAGTTTTTGGAGGTGAGAATGGCTAGTGGCTGATCTCTGCCTGACATCCTGAGTTTGCTGTCACACATTACCCAGAGAGGCTCGGGCAGCTCACAGGTAAGATGGAGCCCTGGATGTGTCTGTGCGTGGTGGGAGGAGAGGACAAGGAGAAATGGTTTTGAGGGTCAGAGGATATCCAGCTTTCCAAAGAAGGGGATTATAGCAGGAGGGCAGAGATGAGGAGCATGTCCTGTAATCTCAGGTCTAGAAGTAGCAGGGAGAATTTTTTTTTTTATCAAGACCTTGTTAGCCCGTACCCATGGAACTGGTGATTGGAATTTCTTTGCAGCAGACTAGTGACCAAATTTGGCTGGGTTGTAATGTAGCAGAACCACAAAGGCAAAGTGGGCTTTCACATGGGTGTGTTTCAGGAGTCTATTACAGGGAAATAATTACAGATGCTGTAACCAAAGTCTTGGGACTTGCCTTCTCTGTGTCTCATTTCATCAGCTTTCATGGCTGCTTCTCCTCCTGTCTCTTGTTCGAGTTCTAATTTGCAGTCATGATGTCTCCTCTGACCTGAGCACAGACTGTATGCTGGCCTGTGTATTTTTTGGCTCCACTTGTCAGAGCACAGAAGAGGGCTAGGACTTTTGAAGGGCAGCAGTTTCGTAAGTACAGGCCTGAAATTAAGAAGTAAAATCAATGGCTGTTAGTCTTGGAAGAAGCATTGAACATGGGGTGTACTTGCTGAGGTTCAATGTTCAGTAATTTCATCTGCAGTGG